GATCAAAACAAAATGTTTCCAGTCTACCACAACATGCATAATTAGTTATTAATTGTTGAACTTCACTCTTGAGTTCATCTTTATAGCCAACGCTGGGCAATACTTTCGCTCCTTCATTAAAAATAACAACTGAAGAAATACCTGAAGTGTTAATGGAAGGAGAGTATAATGTAACTGTGATAACAATGAGTGCTGCAATTAATTTCGTTTTTATTGTTGTTATCAGTGCAGATTTGGTATAAGTAACATGTGAATTAGCTGCTAATTGTTTGTTGTGTGAACATATAACTCCTCATTCTTCAAACCACTGCTTTGGTGGAACAAAAACTGGAGAAATTCCCAGCATCATGCAAATAGCTAAAAAGTACTAGTGAATTCCTGGTTCATCTCTAACATCAAAAACCTATTCTCTAAAGCAGGACAGTTAGGATCGGAAAGAGTGCAAAGCTTCAGTCACTGCCTCATTCAAACCATAACTAGTTACTAGACAGTTCCATCTTTGAGACAGAATGAGAAGATAAACTCACTAAGAAGTCAAACTAGTCTATTACCCAGTTCACTGTGCCTGTCCTTTGTGAGAGGATGCTGGTCACATGAGAATGAGAGTCCTGTATCCAATGGCCTCATTGTAAATGTATTGGGATGATACCATCTATTGCCTCATCTTATCCACATGTGCCCTTTTCAATTGAATCACTTTTTGCTCGATTGTTTGATGTTACTCTTGGGCCTGGCCTATTTTGATAAATTAATCAATTGAATATCTAAGTCATAACAATATACTTGTTCAATATATACAGTACATAAAAGCAGTAAATACCATTGGATAGTGTATTATATAATCAAGAGGTGTTATTAGTACAACAAGCAAACTCTATGACAGCAAGTTGTTACCGTCTGTCTTATAACTAATGCAATCAATCTTGAGAGTGCTGGGTTGTGTGTGTACGCCATGAAGGTGTAGCATGCTGGGAATCCTTGAGCCCATTTCCTAACTTTGTCTTCACCGTCTTCAGGGAGAACCACAGGAAGACCCATTGCACGAGCAAGTATGTCGTCATAATGTGTATAGAGGAGTCCGACACCTCTCCTCCTTAGGCTGAGTAGGTGTTGGAGGGTACGTGACCTCTCAAACTCCAGGCTTGGCTCCTTGCATGGTGCAAACACCTCTATACCCACAATATGTGTTTGATGTAGATCGAGTCTCACGTACAAGCCTCTTATAGTTATATTCCATATAGTGTCAAGATGGCTAAATCTAATTATCATCATGACTTGGATTTTCTTCCTAAAAAGGATATGCATGTGTTATCTCCACACAAACTGCCACTGATGAGAGATGTAAATAAAAAATGATGGCATACCCTTCAGTAATGCTATCAGTTTTGCTGCTGATACCATAGCATGACTTGGATTTTTTTCCTAAAAAGGATATGCATGTGTTATCTCCACACAAACTGCCACTGATGAGAGATGTAAATAAAAAAGTGATGGCATACCCTTCAGTAATGCTATCAGTTTTGCTGCTGATACCATAGATAAGAGTAGGGCATGGGCTAGACTCAATCATAGCAGAGATTAGATATCTATCTGTCTGGCAGGTGTTATGAGCCAGCCTATGACACCTTTGAAAAAAGTGGTTTCGGGCTACAATCT